GCATTTCACCTGAAAGTATCTCATTTGCAGTCAGCATTTCTCAATTTGGGAAACACTAGTGAGGGCAATGGGGGTTTCATTATGAGAGTTTCCCTTTAAAAAGAGCCCTTCTGCAGCGTGTTTGTTAGTTAGAATGGAGAGGATAGAGCTGTGAGACCAAGCAGAGGCTGATTGTCTAGATGGACATGATAAGACCATGGGCTCAGGAGGCAGAGTGGGAATACAGAGTGGAATCTCTCCAGTCTGTGGAAATATCTTCCTAGAGTTGGAACTCAAAATAATTGTCACGAAATTATATAGTAAGCAAGCTCTTAATGCAAATAAAATATTACAGCCATGTTTATTTTCATGTATTATTTATATTTCATTTATTATTTTAATTTTTTTCAATAAAAGAGAGTACAGTATTTTCTATGTTTTTCTATTGCCTCTAGTCTACTGATATGTTTAATGATTATGGCTGAAAAAAGACCAAGGGCCATTAAAATGTTATGCAGTTGTGTTGGTTATGAGAGAGAATCTGAGATCTGGATAGTGAAGTTGAAAATCAAATGGATATTCTCTGTATACTTTTTTAATCTTCTCCAATTTGTTTACTTTTTCTTGTTAGCCAAAAAATAGATGTAATTCTTGCCCCATTGCTGTGCAGCTCACATGGTACAAGGAATGCAACAGAACTTTGTCCATATAACGTGTTATAATGCTTTATATATCATAAGATAAAAGGTGTTATTAGTATTAGTAGCTGTCTTGGCAAGAAATCGTATAAATGGTATTTCCTTCAAACTCCTGTTTTATTTCAATGAATATTTTGTGAGACAGGCATGAGCTGATGTCTAATTTTGGGCTTCTAGTTAACCTGATTAAATATTATACTGAAAAGAATAATTTTAGTTTATCCTTGATGTAGAAATATCAAGTGTCCTGGATGTTGTGCTTACATCGTTCTTGTAGAAATATAATGACTGCTACATAGGGGCAGAGGATATCCCAGGAATAGGGACCAACAATGTATTCTTTATTTTTTTCCTCCAGGAATCTCAAAGTCTAATGAATATTTGTTTAGTTTACTCTGGGAATGAGAGAGAAAATGGGTTTCTACCTAAAATCATTTTAAACTTGGTCATACTTAATATTTACAATATGGGATCAGCTGAAATATGGCAAAAGGAGGCCAGGACTTGCAGAAAAATGCCCTGGGTTCAAGCCATGGGCTTGTCATTTAAGTCTTTGAGTTTTGGTTTCCCTCTATAAGATGGTGATACTAATACTGATGTTGACAAAGCTAGCTGTAGTATCAAGTGAGATGACATAAAAATAATCTTTGTTAAGTATAAAAGGCTGCAGAGACATCATCATCATTGTTAAAATAAAGGTATTTATTGAGTGTTTTCTATGTTCTTTGCATATGTTAACTTACATAATTGTTATAGTTAGGCCAAATAATATAAATACTATTATTATCTCAATTTTCTGGAAAAGAAAACAAAGACCTCTGGAGATTCAATAACTGTCCCATTGTTATGTATTAAGATGACTCCAAAGACTGTATCTTCCTTACCCTTAGAACAGATGACCTTCTAATCATCTAGAGGAGTTTCAGAACTTCCAGAAATTAATCTGCAACCCATTATACATTGAAAAATAATACGGAAAACAATTTTAATGGAGCAATACTTTTTCTTCTATCTTCTTTCCATTGTCTCTTTTAAAATGTTTGGACTTTGTTTATATTAGGATGATAGTTCAACTTGAAAGTAGCTAGTACAATTCTCTATTTCAAAGAACATTCCTGTTTCTTCACAAACATTGTATGGAAAGAACTGTTTTCTAAACTGGATACACGATTCTATGATTTTCAGCTATTTGACTTAAAAAGGCCCTTTCAGCTATAAGAAGTTTTTTATCCTGATGAGCATCGGGGGCCTCCTGCCCATGTATGAAATTCAGAAATGCAGCAGCTTGGAGGAAGACAAGGCTAGGGAACTGTGCATTTAGGAGTTGTCTCAAAATGATAACCGAAGTCAGAACAGTGAATGAAAGGAGATCAAGCCAGGAATTGATATTTGATGAATATCTCTTTATAGAAGAGGGAGGAAGAAGAGGAACAAGCAATGGAAAGAGGAAATGAACTATAAGAAATGAGGAGGCAATAGAGAATCTAGGGAGTCCAATACCATTGAATCCATGAGAAAGTAACTTTGAGGAGGGGAGAGGAGTGTCTTTACCCCCTTCTTCCTGATCCCTTACATTTGCCCCCCAAATTAATATGCTGTTGTGGATAGTTTTTATCTCTTTGATTTTTATTTTTTCTCTCAGATAACAACAATGAAACAGCTCACCGGTTGATTCCTAGGAGGATATATGTTCTCAGAAGGTGATAGGTTTTGAAATGCTGTTTTGACCCAAAGTGGGAAGTAAGCAGAGAAGTGATTTTTTTTCCCATGAACAATATGAACTAAATAGAATGTACTCACACAAAATGTCCACCAATGCATATATTCCATGAGGCCACATGGCCCAGAGTCCCATATTTCACCAGCTAAATATGCATCTATAGTAGAGTTGTTTATTACATGTTAGTAGAGTGTTAGGGTGAGAAAGATGTCGGATTTACTCCAGAACCAAATCCCTTAGCTGAACTTGGCTATGGTTAGTTTGACCTCAGAATATTATGTCTCATTTAGTTTGTAAAGGGAATCAAAGGAAACTTGGAGGAGATTAGAGCGAAATGAAACTCCACTAGGCAATACCTCCTTGTTTTGTGTGCTAACTATGCAGCTAACTCACTCCCTAACTGTGGTGAGTAGAAGATACCTGGGCTCTGGAGCAGGACAGTCCTAGTGGAGCTGCCCCTGCTGTGCGCACGCCCTTCACCTCGCCCAGCCTCAGTTGACCTCCCTGCTCCCTCCAAGGGAAAAATTGATGTCTACCTTGAGGCACATAGATTGTCCTTCAAAAATGGAAATTATTATAATTATATTTATGATGAAAAATCTTAACTGATTTCTATCCAGATGTGCAGATAAGGACAATTTATTTCTTGTTACCATCACATTGCCTTACTTAACAGCTAGGGATACCCCATATATCTTGCAATAAAGATCTCACATTAAAATGCAGTTGACCTTTTCAGCAGGAGCCATAAATAAATGACACGACAATTATCTGGCAGAATCCCAGGGAACAGTCCTGTGGAATACCCAGAGAAGCACATTCAGCTTCATTTGGTTTTATGACTTCCAACTGGTTCCTAGAATTTTAATCCTAACTGCTTTCCTAAGAAACTTGCAGGACCGCTGAAATATATAGTTCTGATAAATTTTCACAGGCAGCATTGGCCTCAGCATGGGAATTAATTGGTACTCAATCAGGAGAAAATCCATAGGGTGACACATGGAAGCTGAGGGTGTCTAGTGCCTCCTTGGGGGCAGAGGCAGGGCTGAGCTGAACAGCTAGCTGTGAGCGAACCAGCTCCTGGATGGGAGAATGCCAGGGGCACTCTCCGTGTTGACAGATGTTCTCCTGGGTCATGACTGTGGACCCCATGTGCACGCTGGCTTCTCTGTGCAGGAGAGACAGGCTGCTGAGGTCTCTGATCACTCAAGGTGATTTGAGGTGTCGACCCATCCTCCTCACCTCCCCCTTTTTTACCCAAACCTGGAAGCTGAATAGAGCTTCTCACAAAGATCACATGGATGTTCTCCAAAGATGGCTCTTGCTTACGTCAATCAAATTCCCCTTTTCTAAATGCTTTGCTTCTCAAACTCAGAATTTGCCTCCCACCTTCCTTCCTGGCAGTCTCAGTGAGCCCCTGTGTGCCAGCCACTGTCTTAAGTATAGGAACACTGTGCCAAGCAAGACAGTCCCAACCCATGCCTTGAGGCACTCACAGTCTAGTGGGGGAGCTGGATAAAGGCTCCTCCTACTCTGTCTACACCCCTGTGGTTGAGCCCTTTACGGTCTGGCCCTAGTGACTCTCTATAGGAGGGCTGCCCCATCATGCCCCAGGGGCAATCAGTCCAGGACAATTACCTCCACTTTAGAGTGTCTAAAACCTGAGTGAGGCCACTGGTAGGGTTTGAAGTGCGCCTTACCCCCCTGGTCAGCAGGTGCGCTCAAGTCTCCCTGCCTGCTGTGGCCTCTGGGGAATCTACCCAGAACGGGCGAGCTCACTACATTGGCTTCGGTGAGACAATCTATGAATAAAAATATTTCTGACAGGCATCAAACACCGCAGGCTTTGAGCCGTAGTCCCTCATTTGCTAATCAAGTGATTTTGAATTTCTTTGTCTTTAAGGTAAAAACAATAATCATACCTTTCTCATTGGGACAATAGCAGACATCACAGGAGTTAGTACCTGTAATGACAGCATCCTGCCTGGTACATTGCAAGTGCTCGTTACTTGTTAGCTGGGTTTTTAATTTCTGTTCACCTAACAGAAGGGCTCTATGACTATACCACATTCTATAAGACACTTTTCCAAGATGCAGGAAATGTTTCAGTAGCTATTCAAGGATACTTAGGAAACTACAAAAATTTCCAGCATTCCTTGGTTTCATTCCCCCATTTTCTACCTGTATAGATCAGCATATTAGCCTGGACACTGTGTTACTAAGATATCTGACAATAAGTACATCAGTGACTCACTACTCACAAGCACAGTGAGACCTTAAACCTGAGAGGATCAATTGAAGCATTTTGCAGGAGGAAACTGGTTTCATCTCCTCGACTCATTTGGTTGAGGCAATCAGAAGCATTAGGGGAAACTTCAATAGGAAATGATGCTGAAACCCTGCCTCACATGGTTCTCTAAATTAGAGCAGGAAAAGCAGTGTCTTAGCCACTGAGGAGAGAAAACTATAGATGACAATGGGGCCTGAGGAAGTTTGTAAGCTTGGCTGGAAAAAAAAAAAGTGTGTGATTCAAGAAAATGGTTAAACAGACAGAGGGAACATGAAGAGAGCTCTGCCACTCACACGGAGTGGTGTTCACATACCAATTCTTTTTTCTTCATGCACTCCATGAGGATGATGAACAGATGCTGGGCCTGGGTTCGAGTGTATGTGAAAGTCTTCTGGATGGTCACCAACAGCTGGTCCCGCAAAGATTCATTTATAAGTCTGCAATTAAACACGTCAATACAGGTCAACCCAACTCCTCTTCAGTATGTATTACTGAGAAATATTATAGAACATAAGAAAGCATTATGGCCATTTAGATAGGGGTTACTTCTTTCTGTATTTTTCTCACACTAGTTATTTTGACTGGGATAAAAAAACAACAACAGTGCATTTAAAAAGAAATCCATTTTCATGTCTCAGAACCTAAATAAGTGAGATTAGTTCCTTTTTCTTTTTCTTTCTTTTAATGGGATGTGTTTAATTCTCAAGTGCTGTAATTAAAATGTCTTTAATTAATCATTAGCATTTTGGTAAAAATTTACTATTACTTATCTAAAGATTTAAATTTCAACTTCATCTCTAATTGTAAAACATTATCTCAGTAATGGAGTTTTGAGCATTGGTAAGGATAAATAGAAATTATGTTTCCTTTAAATCATTTCATGTAAGTGGTAGCTTATCTGGCCTATGACTCATGTCATCATTATTTATGTTGAGATTTGGGTGTGTGATAGCTAACAAGGGTCTGGCCCATACATAAGGAGGTATCATGCTGACTACTTTATAAGACAGTTTTTACACTATAGAAGAATTAGTGAAAGCAAGGGAGGTGCATCTTATCCAATTAATGCTCTGTTATCTCTTAAATATAAACCAATCAAAACTAAGTTTAACTCCTCTCTCACTAGCCTGGTGAGAAAAAACTGGGATATTTCTACCAGCCATTGAATGGCTGGGAATAAAAATTGAGTTTATTTAACAGGTAATATCCAAAGTCAGGAAGATAAAACTTTTTCTTTTAAGAACCAGTGACAAAATTTTAATAATTTGCCTAGTATTATAAAGTTTACCCTTTTTTAAAATAATTGAAGTATCAGCAACTCCTACATACAATAGTAAAATAAAATTATTATATCTTTTTGTGCTTAAAAGAATCCTAGAGCCAAAAGATTTATGTAATTTAAAAGGGAAGGAATATTTCATCCAAAATGAGCCGGATGCATACGGTTACTCAGCAAGTAAGTGGCAGAGATAGAACCAGGATGTAGTTCTGATTCCTTGTCTAGTGCTCTCCCCACGATCCCACACTGCCTTTTATTATTCCAGTTGCACTGCACCATTGCCTTTCTTCATCACTGTAGCTATTTGAACAGGAAATTATAATGTTTCATTTAACACAAAGGCATGGCAAATTTTGTTACTAAAAAGAAAGCAAGATGGGAAGCTTGAGAATATGATCACATCAATAACCTGCTGTGCTCCAGAATTGTGTGAGGACTCAGCTGGACCCCCTAGGTTGGATATTATGGTGGCCCAACTTTGAAGAGGGTGCATTCACCATGACAGAATTATACAAAGGATCCTGGAATGTCTCAGTTTAGTAGTGGAATGGATTACTCCTCTGTCCCTCAGGAAAATTTATCATGAACATATACAGTTCGAAAAAAAAGATGGTCCAGATAAGATTGCAAAGTGATACCAGATCATCTTAAGTTACTATTTTGGATAACTGTGCAGTCTTAGGTATTGACTAGTCTAATACCATTCATTCATTCATTCATTCATTCATTCAACAATTGTTTAATGATGTCTGTGTAGTGCCAGACACTATGGTGCCTGCCAGGGCAATAGGGATAGATGAGATATACACACTCTCAGCTTTCAATGAGCTTACACACCAGTGGAATAGGAAGACATGAACTAGCAATTCAACTGTGATTGACAGTGGTAAAAAGAAGTTGTAACAGTTGAATAGAATCTAATCTAGAGAGCTCAGGGAAGATTCCATTGAGAAGTGCTGCTTTATCTGAGACTTGAAGAATGAATGAGCATTAGCATCTTCAGGAAGTGGTGGGCCTGGGTAAGAGCATTCTCGGCAAACAAAAGAGCACGGGCAGGCCTAGGTTAGAGAAAATAAAAGGTTAGCATGCTTGGAGCATAGAAAATAAAAGATAAAGTGGAACAGGATGGGGCCACAGAAGGGGTGAGCGAGGGCAAGATAACAGGGGAATTTCAGAGAGAGTGTTTGAAATCTCAGATTTTTATCCCTTCACCCCCAATGATAAGCCATTGAAGGATTTAAGTTGGAAAGTGACATGGTTACATTTGTGTTGCCAATAAATTTTCTTGAAGAGTCAGAGCCTGAGCACTTATACCTGGGCATGTGTCTAGTTGATAAATAACCTATATGGATGGGTCTAGAGAATTCTGCAATATCAAGTGTACATAGATGTTTTACATGATTAACAATAGAAGAGATTCTTCTGATTAATCACTTGATAGATCTAATCATTCACCTGCCGGTGTTTAATTTTTATAACTCAAAATTTGTTTTCCATTGCTAACCATCTGTAATAAAATCCCAGTTCTCTGAGGTCATTAACTGCCTGAGGGATCTGCTTGACACTTGTATCCAGCCTGTCATTTTGTAAAAGTTCAGGAGTGATGTGCAACTTATTTGATTGTAGGCTTCAGTGGTTAGGAGAGATGAAAGACACTAAGAATCTTATACTTTTAGCTCAGTTTTGCAGCTGACTAAAGTGGTAGTTTTGGATAAATCATTTAGCAATAAGAATCACGGAATTCTATTTCTAGAAGTACAAGAATTCTCAAGTTTGGTTGTTTTCCAAAGTGTGTGGTACCTGTCATTGATGCAGCAGTTGGTTTTAGGTTCAACAAAGGTGATTTGGTTCTTTTAAAACACTGGTTATACTCAGTAAACATTAATAACTGTTATTCCTGGTTTAGTTCTTTTTCCATCCTTCTGATTGTGTCAAGAGGAAAATTTGATTTTTGGTGGCTTTTTGCCTTTAACTACTCCTCAACATTTGCACATCTCCCCCTTTTGACAAAGAAATAACAGATATTAGGTCTCATGTCTTTGTCCTAAGGAGTTTAATAACGATGTTTTGGAAAAGATCCTGCATAATGTGATATGTACATAGCACATAATGTTTTATGACACAGTGGGTTACAGTGATAATAGCATTTTATCTTCATAACACTCTGTGCATCAAACACCTTTTCCATTTTGCAGAGGAGGAAACTGTGACTCCAGGAAGTTAAATGATTTGTGCAAAGTCACATAACTTGAATTGAGTCTGCTGATTTCAACCATTCCACCATGGTGCTGACTTTCCTGACTGTAACCTATAAATATGTCTTTCAGTTTCCTAATCATCTTCATTGAAGGTAAAAATTTAAATATATTTGTTGTAGGAAACTGATTTTTCTTTAGTGATGTGGAGAACATCTGAAAGAAATCAGGCAAAATATCATGAGGAGATAAGTAAATGACTGGTAAATAAGGACAATGGCAAAGTGCATTTAGTATGTGGAAGATTGTATTTGCTTCTAATTTTTTACAAGTACTTACTGTGCTGAATCAAACACTTTGTGTCTGGCACAAAGGCTTCCTCTGTCTTCTCCTAGAACCCTTTCTTATTTTGTGGCCATATTCTGTAAGATATTGAGAAGCTTGCTTTCTTGAAATTATTGCTTTCTTAGCTCTTCCCCCCTCTTTTTTTTCCCTGAAAAACACTGGAATGATTTAAAAATCTTGACTATGATATTTAGTCATCAGCAAAAATAGAAATAAGCCCAATTTAGTTTTCTTTTTATGGCATTATAATAGTAATTGGAAATTTCTTGATCACAATATGGTCATGTAAAATTTTAGTTTTAGAATTTGGTCTTTGACAAAGGGGTGCCTATTTATGGAAGCTGTTAATTTGTGGCTCCATAGACCAATGCTATTTTTGTCATCCCTAAAATTGGAAGTGCAGCCATTAAAGTGAGGGAAATTTTTGTACTGTGACATTTATGTCTCCTTTTAAATGCTCTCCTTGTGACCTGGAGGTTTTTAGATGAGTCAGAGTTATTTGAAGTAGGTCAGTGTTCATCCAGCTCTTGGTGTAACCAACAAAACTGCTGTTAGTACTCTATTCAAATGCTAGCAATACCACCTGAATACACACTTTCCTCAGAATGAATTTAATTACCTGCAATATCAGATTTTTTCCCCCTAGATTCCAAAATTAAAAAGTGCATTTATAATTCAATGGGACTTGAAGAGCCAGGCTTGAGTTAACGGCTTTCAAGGAGAGAAGCCCTTTTAATGCTTCCACAGACACTCTCTATTAGTTTATTCAGATACAGTATGAGAAAAAATTACTTACATAAATAAAAAAGATAGTTAATAATATCACATTCTGGTATTTAAAAGACATCATTTCCTATGGAATCTCTAATGCTCTAAAGAAAAATAAAATTTTGTTATTTTCTTGAAGCCAAAACAAATTTTTACTAAATGTAACATTAAGGACACAGAAAAATTACATGACTTGCCTAAGGTCACAGAGAATGGCATTTTTCTTTTATTCTTCTTCTTCTTCTTAAGCGAAAGTGACCACTTTCTCCCAAATGTTATAATTCTGGGTTCTAAGTAACAGCATGTCCTTCCCAAAGATGCAGGACAACACGTGAGTAAAAACATCATGGCTGCCAAGGCCAGGCTGTCTGGAGTTAAGCTGTCACTTGCCAGCTGTGTGATCTTGTGCAAGTCATTTAGTCTTTCCATGTCATGTTTTTCACATCTGTAAAATGTGAATTATAATAGCGCTTATCTTATAGACTTGTAAATATTAAGTGGGTTAATCTTTGTAAAGGGCTTAGAAAAGTGCCTGACACATACCAAATGCTATGTAAGCGTTTGCTACTATCCGAATACTTTCCTGACGCTGGCCAGGTGGCTCAGTTGGTTGGAGGATTGTCCTATACACTAAAAGGCTGCAGGTTTGATCCCTGGCCCATGTACCTAGGTTGTGGGGTTTGTCCCTGGTCAGGGTGTGTGTGGGAGGCAACTGATTGGTGTTTTCCTCTCACATTAATGCTTTTCCCTTTTTCTCCCTCCCTCTCTCTCTAAAATCAATAAACATATTCTCAGGTGAGAATAAAACAAACAAAAAACAAACCACTGTCCTACAATTCTCCTTAGGAAA